AAAGAAAGAAAGAAAGAGAAAGAAAGAAAGAAAGAAAAAGAAAGAAAGAAAGAAAGAAAGAAAGAAAGAAAGAAAGAAAGAAAGAAAGAAAGAAAGAAAGAAAGAAAGAAAGAAAAGAAATGCAGAATCTCAGGCCCCACGCTGATGCTGCCTAGGAAGTGTCATTTTCTTAAGACCCCAGGTAATTTGGATGAAGTGTCAGAGCGTTAATTTAAACATTGTGGTCCACTAACTACCCGCATCAGAGCGGCCTGCAAGCTTGTTACAAATACAGGTTTCAGGATTCCTCTCCCAATTCAGTGATTCAGGGCCTGGCCCTTGGCCCTACCACCTGCAGCATTAACAGCTCTGGGTGATTCTTTAGTGGAATCAGGCAAGATTTTGCTCCAGCAAAATCCTTCCTAGGGCCTGGTTTGGGGACAGCCTGACAAAGGACAGAGGACTCTGCCTGTCACCTACTTAGAGACACCTGGAACATCACCTCGAAATCCCTCCACTGGTGTGAATATGGCTCCCCTAAAAATCCTGAAAGCAGGGCATTAGGGTAAAACTCTCTCTTTTTACTCCAGGTCTCTGGTCAAAGGAACTTGAGGTTCCCAAGTTGCAACACTCAAGAAAAATGTCATCTCCTTCAGCACCTGCTGACTTATTTTAATCTATCACAACAGTTCTCAAATTTGAGCATGCATCAAAATCACCTAGAGGGTCTGTGAAGACCCCTGCACCCGGCTTCTCCAGAGAGTCTGACTCAGAATCTGCACTGGAGGCCTTGAATCTGCATTTCTGACCAGGTCTAGGTGTGTTATGTTGACGCTACTGGTCTGTGGACCACACCTGGAGTAGCAAAGCTCTGTGACACTGAGTAGTGTCATTCTGTGAAAGCAAAATGAAGGGTTTGGACAGTTTCTCCCGTGCAGCCTGGAACGTGTTGGCCGAGCACAGGTGGACTTGTCTCAGCTACGGACGCAGAGCTGTTTGGCTTGGTTGAGCCCCTGGGCTAGTTATCCTTTGAGCAACAGCATCTGAACAGAGGATACCCAGACTGCTATGCCAAATCAGCCACCTCTCTGCTTGCTCCCCAACTTCTAGTGACTTGTCCTTAAACAACCACCCCCATGCTTTTCAGGATCAGTCCTCTGGGTGGCAAGTTTTCCCCTCTCCCTGATCCTGGTGAGGAATATTCTGAGGGCTGCGTAAGCCACGTAGTAAAATCGCCTATAGGTCAAGAAAGGACAACGGCGAGAAGCTAGGAGGTCATTCTGCAGGGCTTTGCAAATTCTTTGATTCTCTTCTTTGCCTCTCCCTGCAGTTCCAACAAAGCAGTGGCTTTGGACTTCCATTTGAACTCCAGAGAACTCACTTGACCCCAAAAACTATATGCTATATCCTTTAAAAAAGGATATAAAAGTGGTTTTCCCGTGCACCACTGCAATACGATTTGAATCCCCAGAGCACCCCCTTCCCAGGGGGGAAAAAAAAACAGTCCATGATCCAGGCTTAATAGTTACAGAAGAGAGAAAGAAAAGAAGAATCACATTTTATAATTGATTTGATTTATAGTAAAGAAGCCTTTTTTGATCACTTACTTATTATTACTACAATCCCAGTTCTGCTAAAATGTATTAACATTACAGCAGGCAGAGACAACTACTGGAAATCAAGTTTGACAGCCTGTAGATCAAACTCACAGTCCATAAAACCCAATGGAATTGGATACCTTTGTAATGATATTTAACGTTCTACAGAATAAGAAAAAAAAATGTTATTGCTTTTTCAAAGGTCAAAGGAAGCAGGAGTATTGAAAGATGCGGGTGTTCCCTCACATCGACTGTTTCTGTGTTAGCAAGTGCACAAGTCGCCCAGCTGAGTGGAGGCTGCCTCCTAACCCTGGATCATCTTACATCTGCCCCACTCTTTGAACGGGTCAAAGGCATTTGCATCCGTTACTCCACTTCATCTTCTCGGTACCTTCTGTCCTTTTCCAAGAACAGTTATTATCCTCATTTTACAGATCCAGAGTGGTTGAGAGTCTGGAGCTCAGCTCAAGAAAGCCTACAGCTCCAGCCTTCGTCTATCAGACCAGATTCCTCCTGGCCCATAGTCAGGCTGACACCACCTCTGCTGCCCTATTATGCACATAAGGGGTGCAGACACCTTTCCCCAGTGTGCCTGCTTCTTTTACCTTTTCTCCAGGATCCCCTCCCAAGTGGACACACTTCTGCCTGACTGCCCTTCTATGTTTTAAGATTCTCTCTCTCTCTCTCTCTCTCTCTCCCCCTGTCTTTTCCTCCCTCTCCTTCTCTCTCACCTCCTTAAAAACACTCCTCCACAGGGGAAGAATGAAGGGGGGGAAATCGAATAGGGAGACAAACCATGAGAGACGATGGACTCTGAAAAACAAACTGAGGGTGGTGGGGGGATGGGTTAGCCTGGTGATGGGTATTAAAGAGGGCACGTTCTGCGTGGAGCACTGGGTGTTATACGCAAACAATGAATCATGGAACACTCCATCAAAAACTAATGATGTGATGTATGGTGATTAACATAACAATAAAAAATTTAAAGACAAAAAAAAAAAAAAAACACTCCTCCACAGCCTAGCTCTCTGCAGGTTAGACAAATCTCAAGCAAGGATTCACCTGGACTCACGGATGAGTTCTGCCCCCAAGGTCTTGCATTTGACTTAGAATCAGGAAATTGAACAAAAGGAACTGAGCCCATAATTCTGAGACATTGAAGAATCCAGTGACTGGCAAATGACCTGCTATACTCTCCGTCTGTGTCTACGGAGGCCAGCCTTTAGGAATAGCTTTCACTGTCTATCTGCCATGTGGTATTCAAATTCACAGAAGTCAGGATAATAAACAAGGGGGTTAGAATGATAAATACTAATCCTGAAGGGTAAGAGAGGGAATCTCCTCTTTCTGTAATTAATAACGAGAAGTAATCCTGTCCAAACTCTTTAAATAAGCCTCCTTGTTTGCTTTCTTTCTCTCATTCCCCTTAGCCCAAAGCAGCAAGCCAAGATGGCGGAGTATTGCCGACTGATCTTTGGAGACGCGCTTCTCATGGAACCACTGGAAAAATACCCAGTAAGCAGTTTCAAGGTTTATCCCTGAAGGAATGCCCCTGAGGTTGGGTGGGGGTGCGGGGGACTTCCTTACATCCTTTCCGTGTTCCTCAGTAAGATTCGTTCGGTTGGTAATGAAGTCTGACCAGGAGGAAACCATCACTGTGCCCTGCTGAGGGTGAAAGACATGCCTCTGTTCTCCTCCTGTACCCTCCATCTCCTTCCCCCTCTGACAGATGTGACTGTCGGGACTACAGAATTCCACCCCCCCCCCCCCCACCCCCGATCACAGTCAGCCGTGGAGACATTCTGGGCAGACGGGGCTCTGATCACCAACCAGGAACCTCATCACACCCTTTGAGAGATATGGTTCAGCAAAATGGGACGTGGCAGGTGGCACCATGACACCCCCATCTGGCCTTGCGTCCACTCCTCACGTCCTTGCATGTGCCTGTTCATGGAACTCAGGCCTCCTATTGCCCTGATAGCATCCCTGCTTTGGGAAGGAAAGCAATAGGAATATCTCAAAGTAGCCTCTCCCCTCTTGAACCCTTTTTCCTAGTCTCCGCACATTCGTACATGGCTTCATACCAATCCCCCGACTCCTTGCAAGCAAAGAATAAAGGACCAGTGTAGGAGAGTTCACTGAACTTTCTAAAAATAACCCATCTTGGGACTTGCACACACGCTCTCTGATAAAATATCTAACAACCCTCTCATGGGAAATTGATTTTTCTCATTAGCCATGCAAGCTTGAAACACAAGAAATAAGCCTTGCAAATAAGGGTGGCTTGAATCTCGGAGCTGCAAGGAAATGTGAAGCCACCAGTCCAGTCCTGCTGATGCCAAGGACATGTGCAGCTTAGCTCCCGAGTTCTGGATGGCGGGAGTGGGGAGAGGGAGTCTGCTCCTTTTAAACTGCATCTGAAAGATTGATTCTGTATGCTTGCCTGGAAGCTCCTGCTCATCTTTACCAACGCTTCCTGACAGATGCCACACTAACTGGCCTCCCTCCTTTGAAAATCCAAGGCAGGGCCTTCCTATCTGTCCTAAACCAAAATGGTTGGATTTACGGTCCACAGCAAACTCCTGAACCTTTGGATTAGCAAGTCCCCCAGTACATTCCAATGGTCTTATTCATGGGGATTTCGTTATGAAAAAAAGAGTTCGGTAATTAAAATATGCCTTTCATATGAAAAAAGAAAGAACTGCGAAGCAGCAAGACACACTTAGAACAGTTTACTGGGCTCTACTGAAGGTAGTAATGAATAATCTAGAAGCTCTTGGTGTCCAACACCATCCTGGCACTTTGGGGAGGGAGGCTGAAAGAAGGGGGCACTATTTTTTTTTTTAAGATTTTATTTGTAAGTTATCTCTACCCCCAACGTGGGGCTCGAACTCACCACCCCGAGATCCTGAATCGCACCCTCTGCCGACTAGAGCCGGCCAGGGCGCCCCTAACAGTGTGATATTTTTACAGAAGGCGCTTTTCTTTTCCATTAGCTGGAATCTGGAGTTCCTCTTCCAAGCCCCATGGACTTAATGCACAAAATTTTGGTGAAAAATAAGAAGAAATCGCACAAGTCATCGGAAGGAAGTGGCAAAAAGAAGCTCTCAGAACAAGCTTCCAACACGTACAGCGACTCCTCCAGCGTGTTCGAGTCCTCATCTCCAGGAGCTGGTAAGGGGTTAGGGACGCTTGTTCCCTGTTCCACATGGGTTTCAGAAGTGCTGACTTAACGTAGAAGGACATTGAACATTTCTATTTGGACACGCTTTAAAACTGGGCTGGTTTTTCTATTTCTGCTACCAACTGAGTGGCTTTGTTAAAACTATGCATATGTATTATCTCCAGTTCTGTAGGTAGGGAGGCCCACGTGGGTCTCCCGAGGCTAAACTCTAGGTGTCAGCAGGGCGGCTTTCCTTTCTGGAGGCCCTAGGGAATCCTATTCCTTGCTGGTTCCAGCTTCCAGAGGCCACCCACATTTGTTGATTTATGGCTCCTTCCTCCAGTGTCAAGCCAACGATTCCCCATCTCACTTCTGGCATTGTACCGCCCTCTGACCACAGCCAAGAAAGGTCCTTTGCTTTTAGGAACTCACACCATTACACTGGACTCTTTTGGATAATCCAAGATAATCTCCCCCATCTCCAGTTCCTTAATCTATCTGCAAAGTCCCTCTCACTATATATTCACAGGGCACAGGACATATTCCCAGGACGTGGTCATTTGGGAGAGCCATGCTGTCTAGCACATTGGCCAAATCATCTTCAAACTGACCCCGTGATTTTAAGCTTCTCAAGGACAGTGATCCCTTAACATTCACTCAGGTCTGGGCACCAGATGATCACCGGATATATTCTCATTGATGATATGCTGAAGAGTTCTGGGCAATTCCACTTACCCATATTTTATAGATCTCTTTTAAAATGTAAAAAGGTAAAGTTACTTGAATTATCTGTCAAAGCTCCTAGGTGATGCTTAATATCATTAATTTTCCTTTTAGATTTAAGTTGAAATAGATTTTTGTGGTTGATGAGAGAAGGATTCCAAGTGGTCACCCCATTTCCTTTGAATTGCTTGTCATTTAGTCTGATTTCTGTTATAGCTTTAATCAGAATCTTGGCAATCTGAAAAGGGCATTAGGAAGCTCTCCTGATTGGAGGGTGAATAAGGGGAGGAAGCTTGAAGCTTGAATCTAGGAAGTTCTTCAACGAAAAGTTTAACTGACACTGGAACAATCACTTTGGAAAACTGGCAGTATTTACAAAAACTGAACATATGCACACCCTCTGCCCCAGGGAGTCCCCTTCTAGGCTTATACCGGACAGAAATGTGTATAGACGAGTCATCAAGACAGATGTAAGGAATTGCTTAACACAACGCTACTCACAACAGCTAAAAACTGGAAACCAATCAAATGTCATCAACAGATAAAGAGGTTGTAGTGTATTCACACTGTGGAATAATATGCAACAATACCAATCTATCTTTGCACACAAGAATAGGGCTACATCTCAGAAACATAATGTTGAGTAAAAGAAATCAAATACAAAAAAGTATCCGCCATATTGATTCCATTCATATAAAGTACAAAAACAGGCAGAATGAGCCTATGCAGTTAGAAGTCAGGAAATGGTGACCCTTGAAGAAGTGGCTGGAAGGGGATCCGAGGAGGCCTCTGGACACTGGTTTTATTTTGTTTCTTGATCTCAGTAACAGTTATTAAGGTCTGCGTAGTCAGTGAAAATTCAACACTCTATACACGTACAAGTATGTGTACTTCTCTATATACCTATCATATGTCAATTAAAAGACTTCAGAATAATTTTTTAAATTAAAATATAAACTCTAGGGCAATGGGGGGGTGGACCAAGACACTGATTTATCTTTTTTTTTTTTAAATTTTTCCATCTCAATGGCCAATATCTTTTAAGGGTTAGATAAAAATCCTTATCAGCAGATATTATACAATTCTTTGAAAGGTTTTGTGGGGGGATAGTTTTTGAATGTGTATTTCAAACACTATTACGCAATTCTGAATCTCTTCTCAAAAACAGTTGTGTTCTCAGTATGAATGTTCTTTTGAAGGTTTGGAGGAAATATTGTTATGAGGCTACCTAGCATAATTTTTAAAACTCTTGAATCCAGGGAGGAAAGCAGGTCTTCCTTTGCATGGAGAAACTTGTTTTCCTGTGTGCCATTCTCCCTATCAGTTCTGTTCCTCTTATTAACTGGATGCATAACACAAATAACGATTTTTACAGGCGGTGAACATTATTGCTTAATACAAAGAAAAAGCGCAATCCGGTAGTAATTCGGTAGATTTCCTAAGCCAGCCCCATGGTCTGTTGTGCAATCTTTCTTAGAATGGAAAATTTGGGACATTTAAATAGGTAGGTAGGTTCTTGAAAAATGAGCACTGTTAATTTACCATTTGGTTTGTAGATGGTCTCCGGTAATGGGAACTCAAGTAACTTGAAAAATATGCAATGGTTCTTATTTCAAAACTAATTTATCATGGTCCCTGTTGGCCAGGTGCCTTTTCCAGGATTCAGCCCTTTGTCAAGTACACTTGTCTTAAAGAACTAGAATAAAGTAGTTTTTTTTTTTTTTTTATGGTGCAAGGTTTTAGGATCCTAAGATGCCTCCAAGACCCCGCCAAAGACTTATAAGGGAAAAACCAGGGTCTGCTCATAAAGTCATGGAAGACAAGTTCTTTCTTTCCCCCCATACACCAAAGAATGACCTGATAGAGTTATTTGAAATGATTGGTGTATTGTTAGGTCCTGTAAAGCATTGTGTAAATGGTTTTGCCAAAGAAACTTTTAAATTGCTCTATAAAAAGAATCCCCTAATTAAAAAGCAAAAACTGGTTAAAAGAACTTGGAGCAACACATTTGATTATTTAAAAAACTTGAGTGCCAACTTCCTAAAAGAACATGTCTCTATATAAATATGTTTTCTAACCAAAATATAATGGATTCATCTTATTAACTAACACAATATCAGCATCATAAAGTGGCTGTATGTGCTTTCTTTTAATAAACAAGCCATAAATAATGATTTGTTGGTCCCAGAAATCTTTTCCCTCTAAAGATATTTCATGAATACTTTGCCCACTGCTGTCATTGAGTAATTGATTGAACTTCGTCAGCCAAATGAAAATATGTATAAGCTTCTTTGAAGACATGCTGTGGACACTGTGTCACTTATATAGATTAAAGGGGCAGCTAACTTTCAGAAGGTTTGAGGGGGGAGGGCCCTGCACGTGCAAGTTGCCTCATTGTTGAGCCAATATTGCCATCTACTGGGCTCGTCCTATTATTGCCCCGTGTGAATGCCGCAAGATAGTAGTCAAATCAAATAATGCTTTCTGTAGTATTTTACTTGAAAGTCTTTTTACATAACTGAATCACTGGGTCTGACTGAGGCCCAGAGCTGTGGCAGAATTTAATACCTCATGCTGGTATGAATATTTAAACTAGCAGAATCAACCACCAAATCTTCAGAGAGGAAAAAGAATCCATTGAAATGACTGTGTATTGGCTAACGATGAGGCTGAATTATGTTTGACTGAAGTAGATTTCCATGCATCGTGTTAAGGGTTCATGCATTTTATCCTGCTCTTTAAAACGGGACGTAGCCATTTTCTAAGAGACGTGCATTGCTTAGAGGACAATGCATCCATTAGAGAAGCCTGCGGGCAAGTCATAGGATACAATAGTTAGCTTACAGTCTTTGTGTAGTTAGGTATGCTGCCACAGCCCCACCCTTTCTGTCCTAGCTCTTGTCCTTGGCCTTCACTGTGAGGTCCCCTATGGCCTCGGAAAAGTGGCCCCAAAGTCACTGAGCACTGACTGACCAAACATCGCATGAAGAGTCAGGGCTCAGAAAAATAGAGAAAAGCGGGAACAGGGTAGTTTATCCCTTTTAGGGTCATACAGATCCTGAAAGACAAGGTACACATCAATATAGGATGTGTGTACCATAGAAAGCTGACTGTAGATGATGCCATATTTTTTTTTAAACATACAGATAAAAATGTTAAGCATTTTCCATAGAAGGTGGGCATTTCAAATGTATTCGCAAACGAAACTTGGAGGAAAAAAAATCCATATTCAAAATCTCAGGATAATTCTCTATATAATTAATAAAATTTAAATATCCAAAAGAATAATTTTAAAACCATGAAAGGCCAATATCCAAGGAAATTTTTGGCAATGCGCCTGTTAGCCTGTGCTTCGAACCTTCAAACCTGTTACCTCATGATCTTTTATTAAAATCCGACAGGGGAAGCTGATACCGAGAGTGATGACGATGATGATGATGATGACTGTAAAAAATCTTCAATGGATGAGGTAGGTATCTAGGGACTGACTTCGGGTCACAGAAGCGCTTCCCCTAATTTGCCCACCCAGAAGGCTCCATCTGGATACAGTTCATGGTCCCCTTCTGCCATCTAGTGGTCAAAAGAGTCATAGTTCACTTTAAAACTTTCAGCTATCCTGTTGGAAAATGAAAATGCATGCTGGGGTCTCCTGGGTGATAGACATTGGGGAGGGTATGTGCTATGGTGAGCGCTGTGAATTGTACAAGACTGATGAATCACGGATCTGTACTTCTGAAACAAATAATGCAATATATGTTAAGAAAAAAAAAGAAGAAGAAGATAGCAGGAGGGGAAGAATGAAGGGGAGTAAGTCGGAGGGGGAGACGAACCATGAGAGACGATGGACTCTGAAAAACAAACTGAAGGTTCTAGAGGGGAGAGGGGTGGGGGGATGGGTTAGCCTGGTGATGAGTATTAAAGAGGGCACGTTCTGCGTGGAGCACCGGGTGTTAGGCACAAACAATGAATCATGGAACACTACATCAAAAACTAATGGTGTAATGTATGGTGATTAACATAACAATAAAAAATTATTTTAAAAAACGCATGCTGGGGTCTCTAAAGGAGTTAGCATGGCATTGAGCAAAGCTCTCTATAATGAACAATGCTGCTGAGACTGCCTTCCATCGAATGGGGTATCTGGAGGGTGAATTCAAAAATTCAATTCGTGACATCCAACGACCTGCTTCAATTTTTGAGGCAATTGAATGGATTGTCAAATGGCCCCAAATCCAGAGAAGACATGGGATTTGGGAGAAATGTTCAGAAATGTGACATCCATTCCATTATTGTAATTGTGGAACCACTAGAGATCCTTATTGATGTAAGCTCGAACATCCCAAAGAACCTCACCAGCTCAGTGAATCTGGGATAGGTCAATTGGAATTTTTAAAACTTTGTTGTAGCAAGAGTCTTGGTCCAAAAGTTTATACCGAATCTGCTTTCAAATATATTGGAAAGCATCTGTCTCAGGGATAAATAATGAATGATAAACTATTCTTACATGATGTTCTTCCTCTGGTACTTACTTCCTTTCATGTAGTCTCAAGTTTTGATTAACTATGTTCCTCCACTAAATTTCAAGTCAATGTCCAGGAGGAAAACTAAATATGCCTGGTAAAGTAGTTCTGCCTGATAATTACTTCAATTGCACATAACTTTTATCACTGATTCTTGATCATTTAAAATTGTCTTACTAATTGGATGGTCCATTTGCAAATGAATATTTCCCAATTAACATTTAACTTAAATATTGCTACAGGAATTTAAAAAAAAAATCATGTCTCCATGCATTCTGTCTTCTGAGAATGGGAGAAAATATTAGATCAGTCTACAGAGGTCTGTCCATGTCAATACTGCATAAAAACTTTATTAGAGTGATATGTAATAGCTAATCATAGCTAAAGTAACATGAGGTTTTACTATGTGCCAGGTACTTTTCTGAGCTCTTTCACATCAACTAACTCATTTAATCATCCCCAAAACTCTAGATGCTATCGCAACTGGTTTTATTCTAATTTAATGGGTAAGAAAACTGAGGCACAGAGCAGTTAAGTAACTTGCCCAAGATTGCACAGCTTCTAAGTGGTGAGTTTGGGATTTGAAATTAGGCCATCTGGCTCCAGAACCTGAGCTACTGACCCCTACCCTGAACTGTACTGCTTGCCTACTAGGCACCCAGGAACCAAGAAGGCAGGGAGAGATGAATGTTTGTAAAGAAAAGCAATAGCTGTTCACCCACCCCAACCTATTTCCACAAGGCAACTTTTTTTTTAAAAAACTTTTTTTTTTGGTTCACTGGCAGTCACCTACATACTAATTTTCATATTGTACAGTGAATTCCTGATTTCTTGATGTATTAACCTTAGACATCAGCTAAGGAATTTATGCTATGGCAGGTGAAATAGGGCTCAGGGCTTCTCAGATTGTAATGTGCATTGAATCACCTTAGTAAAATGGAGATTCTTATTCCGGAGGCCAGTGCCCTGGGGGGGGGGGGCACACTGGGACCTGTCCCTAAACCTCCCTCCTACCACCCCACACTTGCCTACCTTGTGAGCGAATTTTCTCCTGTGATGAACTTTCTATTGGCAATAATTTTTGGAAGAGGAGGGATGATGTTCTCTCTCGTGGGTCCCTGCATCTTTGCCCTGGGGAAAATAACCCTTGGGAAGGTAATGCTGACTCTGGGAGTGTTATTTTTAATTCTGCTTCCAGGGGACTGCGGGGAGCGAGGCCATGGCCACCGAAGAGATGTCTAACCTGGTGAACTATATTCAGCCGGTCAAGTTTGAGTCATTTGAAATTTCAAAAAGTAAGTTTTCCCTGGAGAAGAAGCCCTAATGTAGCCTAGAATGAGTATCCTTTCAATACAAGGTAGTTAGAACAAAGAATATTACCCTTAACAGAACTCTTCTGGAAAGTCTTGAATATATACCTGGGTGGACGATCATAACCATGTGAGAAGGTATTCCACGATGTTTCCCCGAAATTCTTAGTAGGGCTGCAAGCCACCCGTGGTTATCTGAAAGATACGAGAGTACAGCTAACTGAGAGTTCCACAGTTGTTTTTGTTCAGCAACATAATGCGCTCCTTCCATTAGATAAGGGACAGTATTGAAATAAACTATTTACCCATCCCCCAGAAGGGGAGCGGCCAGAGAAGTGGTTAGCCCTAATGACTAGAAACAGAACACAGTCAGTCAGTTCAGCCGCGTTCTGTTTGTCCAGCCTGTTTGACAACATTAACTTCACAGCCTCTTTTGATCTCCCTTCGTCCAACTACACACATCCAATACTGGACGCAAAGAAAAAAATAGCATCTTTCCCCCACCTAAAGAAAAGAGCCCTTTTATGAAATTGCCCTTTTTTTGATGAAATGTAAGATGCTATTGGGTGAAGAGAATCCTTGGGACATTTTAGCGGCTTTTATGAGTGTGCTCTTAAAGGCTGAATTTTTAAACATAGCAGGCTCTGACAAAGCATAGTTTTATAAATACATCAAAATCTAAGCTACGTAATACGCTTACGTATAAGTGTATAATTTTGTCCAAAGAGCCTTAACCTTGTAGTATATAGTATCTAGATCTCTACAATGAGGAATTTAACTTTCAATACAGTTTATATATAAATATTTCAACATTTTTTTATTTTTATAAGTACTGATGCATCTTACTGCAAGTTGTTCAGTTTGAAACGTCCTATTTTTATATTTCTATAACTTTCATTGGCTGTCAAATGAGTTTTCCTAATTCCTGAGTCAAAAGTTCCTAGACAAGTAGCCAAGTTGAGAAGGAACTGATGCATTGACAATCCTTCAGAACCTGGTAAGAACAGCAGGGGCCCAAGATTGACAAACAAGTATTTTTCTCCTTGTGTTTCACTCAACATACATTACCAAAGCACCTACTAAATGGACTGAATTTTAATTGGCAGTCTTGCTTAAATAACTAGTCAGATGAAAAGAGGTTTCTGATGGACCAAAAGAAGAGAAGTAAGGGTTTCCTATAGAGTTGATTAAATTGGGGAAAGGTAAGGAGATGGATAAAAGAGTCTAGGAATGACTTAGGAAGAAAAATGAGGCTTTAATTATGGAAAGTGGGCATCAAAGAGGGGGAAATGACTCAAAGGTAATAACTCTGTTTAAAAACTGAGAGCTGGGGGCACCTGGGTGTCTCAGTAGGGGCCAAGTGTCTCCCTTTGGCTCAGGTCATGACCCCGGGGTCCTGGGATGGAGCCCCACGTCAGGCTGCCTCTCAGCGGGGCGTCTTGCTTCTCCCTCTCCCTCTTCTCCTCCCCCTGTTTGTGCTCTCTCTCTCTCCTGCTCGTTCTCTCTCCGAAAGAAAGAAATAAAATCTTTAAAAAAATTTTTTTAATACATAAATAAAAACTGAGAACTGTCGAGGTGCCTTGCTGGCTCATTCAGTTGAGCATCAGACTCTTGGTTTCAGCTCAGGTCATGATCTCAGGGTCCTGGGATCGAGCCCCAAATCCAGCTCTACACTCAGCCCAGAGTCTGCTTGAGAGTCTCTCCCTCTGCTCCTCCCCCTATTTGCCCGCACACTTTCTCTCTCTCTCAAATAAATAAAATCTTAAAACAAACAAAAAAAAACCATAAATTTAAAAAAAAAAAACAAAACCCTGAGAGCTTTCTAACCACACTTGCCTCAGTACTGTGTGTGACACTTTGGTTTTTACCTGGGAGGAAGACAGAGAAGCTGTTGGACTCTTAGTCTTTACAGACTAAGATAACTTTGTTTTGTTTCTTCCATTCTAATGGGAAGTTTGGATTCCACTTTAAAAATGTTGCTCCTGTATTCTCTTGAGACCTCTAGCACATTCATCTCTCAAGCCTCTCTTATCTAATCTGAAAATGAGGCCATCAGGCTGGAAAATTTCCAAGGATTCTTCTGCTTTGAAATACCCTGATCTTAATGTCACATTAGTTATCTGAACCGAAGGGGCGCATACAAACTGAGGGAACGACAATGCGAGAATCCAAGAGAGAGTCAGAGACACCAGTCTGAATGGATTTAGAACAAAAGATTCCCCCAGGGCTCCTTTTCTTTTTAACAAAACAGCTTTCATTTACCACATCTTAAAATTCATTTCCCCATCCTAATACAAGGCCATAAGCATAGCTGACTCAGGTGGTAAGAATTAGGAGAGACAGCTTCTTAGAAGATTCAACTTTGGGTACACGTAAATGGTTCACTGAAAGAAATACATTTATAAAGTTGCGGTGGGGATTCATTGCCCTAACTTCACTGAACACGCGCCTACTTCTTACATGTTATAATTTATACCGTTACATTTTACTTCTCGCCCGTTTTTCTTGTCATGAACTCAGAAAGAAACAAAAGTTTTGAAATGTCTTCCTTCGTGGAAACCAAAGGCCTCGAGCAACTGACGAAGTCTCCAGTGGAATTTGTAGAGTATCCTTGATTTGACGATTGACCGCTGAAGTGACCCAATTGAAGCCACATGCCATTTGTTTGATTTTTGTCTTGAATAAGGAGAAAGATGCATGAAATGGCTTCCCACTGTCACGTGGGTGTGAGAAACAGTTTCAGGTTTCATAGGCGAGGCTGAGGGGGGTGGCCTCGCACTGGTCTCTCAGGAAAAGAAGCTAAAAATCAAGGTGATTTTCACACCATCAAGCCCTTTCTCATGTGGCAATTTGCTTAATCTTTCTGAATTTCCTCATCTGTAAAACAGAAACCGTGATACCAGCTTTATGGCTAACCTTTTGGGTTAGGGACAACATGAGTAAAGTGTGTGTATACATATGTATACATATGTAAGATAGGCTATATGTAAGACAGAATATTATATATGTAAATATAAACTTTCTTGGCATGTCACATCCTTACATGTAATAGGTGTCCAATCAGAAGATAGTTGGGATGATGATAAGAATATAAATTTTAGGACGCCTGGCTGGCTCAGTCAGAGGAGCATGTGACCCTTGATCTCGGGGTCATGAGTTCCAGCCCCACATCGGGGATAGAGATTACAAAAAAATAAAAAACCTTAAAAAAGAAAAATATAAATATATATTACCAATAATGGCTTTGTTGATAGTCCTGACAACAAAACCTTACAATTTTTATCCATAGATCAAAAATGAAACAAGTCTTTAAATTTTTTTCATGAATGTAATAAATAGTAAATGCCACAAGCAGCCCAATTTCATGAAGCAAGTCCCAGAATAAAAATAAACTCACCCTTAGAACTCATCCACAACAGGAGAGGGAACAAATGTAAAACTCCCCCCACAAAGTCACACTCTTAAGTGTTGCCTCTTGGGTAGACCGTCCATTCGCTGTCTTATCTTTTTGAACCCTCACAATAGACCTAGAATGTAGGGATTGTTCAATCTATTAAGGAGGGAAACCAACTCACAGTGTGAGGTAACTTGTTCCCCTGCCCAAGCTCACAACTTTAGCTAACCTCTGCCAAATTTGGTAATAGGAAGAGTCGGCCAGCTTTTAAAGACATAGCATTGTTTAATCACTGCGTAGTAGTTGAGAGCTAATGGTTCTCAGGATCGAAAACTGATGGCAGGAGGAACTCAAATACAAAACAAGGTCAGCACCTTCTATGCTCTATTTACCTTGTTATCCATCATGAAGTGTACCACAGTCTTGGCAAACAGCATTCTCAGAGAAGGTTAAAAAATGAGCAGAGAGCATTTCAAAAATAGCCATGCAGTTCACATTAACTTTCTGCCAAAGACAATATCACGCTCTCACATGCTTAGACACGCTTGAGCTTCCTCATGTGTCCTTCATCATGAAGCCTGTCCTTAATAATCTCCACAAAATCACACTGACTTTGACTCGGTCATTTTCGCTACCCCATTAGTTTTTACCCACAAGGCTCTGCAAAGGTGATAGTACATTTCTATTTATTCCGTGTGTTCTGGAAGTTTTTGACCTTTTTCATCGACTAGCCCAATGAGATCATCAACAGCTAGTTCATTTTCCAATGGAAAAGGAAGAAGGTGGCCTCTCAGTTAATAGTATTGGTTAATTATTTTTATAATTGTATTCACTACTTAACATGATGGTCCAGATATAACAAAATGCAGCTTAGCAGAATATATCCAAAAGGAACCCGTGTGGATTCATCTAACTACATGCCTCAGCTCTTCTGGAATGCGGGTTGCCAAATGGTTGCACTTAATTTTCAAACTGTGGGTAAGTAACACAGTTAAAGTTCATTTCCGTTCTGTTATAAAGCCACATTTCCAGACGAAAAGAGAAGCAAATTTCAGTGAATTTTGTACAGAAAAAAGGTAACCTTTGAAAACAGAGAAACTGTCTTTAATAGTTTATAAACAAGTCTTTGTTTCTAGTGGTTTTCCATTATTTTCAAAGAAAAATTTTTATGCTATTTAAAGCAATATGTAGAGGGGCACCTGGGTGGCTCAGCTGGTTAAGCGTCTGCCTTCAGGTCAGGTCATGGTCTCAGGGTCCTGGGATCAAACCCTGTGTAGGACTCCCTGCTCAGCGGGGAGTCTTCTTCTCCTTCCCCCTGCTCTTGCATTCTTGCTCACTCTCTCTCTCCCTCTCAAATAAATAAATAAAATCTTTTAAAAAAATTAAAAAATTAATATGTATATATTGTAGAAAATTTGGAAAATTCAGAAAAGTATAAAGAAAAAAATAAAACTGCCAGGAACACTACCATTCAGAAAGTCAACACAGTTATCTTTTTGGCTCTGTAATCTGTAAGGTTTTTTGGTTATGTATATACAGGCTTTTAAATTTAATTCCTTGTTTAAAAATGTATTAAAAAAAAAGAAGATAGTAGGAAGGGAAAAATGAAGGAGGGGAAATCGAAGGGGGAGACAAACCATGAGAGACGATGGACTCTGAGAAA